AGCCACAACCCCAGCCCCAACAATAATAATTTTTTTAAAAAATTTTTATTTGTTTTAATTAGTTATACATGACAGTAGAATGCACTTATGTACTTTGATATATCATATATAGATTGGATATAATCTCTCATTTTTCTGATTATACATGTTGAATAATCACATTGGTCATACAGTCACATACATACATAAAGTAATAATGTCTGTTTCATTCTACTATCTTTCTTATCCTCACATACCCTGCCTTCCCTCCTTTCACTTCCCTCTACCTAACAAGAACAATTTTAAACAGAGATTTTTTTGAGATATAATTCACATACCTTCACCTAAAGTATAAAATTTCATGATTTTTAGTATGGTTACATAATCATGCAACCATCACCACAATCAGGTTTATAACATCTTCATTATCCTCTCCACAGCCAAACTGATCATACCTGTGTAATAAGCCCCCACCGTGGAGCTAGAGATGGAACAGCACCTGGAAGCCCTTGTGGTACCCTCCTAGATCTCCACCACCTAACAGCTGGCTTGACTCTAATACCTTGTTTGTGTGTTTTGAACTTTAGGTAAATAGGAGCACTTACTCCTGTATATTCTTTTGTGTCTGGTTTCTTGCACCAAACATTGTGATACTCATCCTGCTGTTGCCGGTAGCTAGAGGTGGTTCATTCTCGTTGCTGTATGGTATTCCATTTTGTGACTACCCCTCAATTACGTGTACATTTTATTCATGGCAGACTTTTCAGTTGTTCACAATTTAGGGTTATTATGGAGAATACTGCTAAGGCATTTGTGAACTTGTCTTTTGGGGAACATGTGTACACTAGTAAAATCTCCAGGTTTAAGGATGTGTGCATGCTCACCCTTAGCAGATCCTGCCAAATGACTTTCTGGAGTGGCTCTCCCACCAGTAGTGTATGAGAATTACAGTTTCTCCATATCAACACCAATACTTGATTTATCTCTGATTTTATCTTTGTATTTACATATATTGTGGTTTAAGTTTGTATTTCCCCTTTTAAGTGATATGCTTATTGGCCTTTGGATATCATCTTTTGCAGAATGTAAAACTTCTTTGTCCACTGGGTTATCTGCCCTCTTTTATATTGATTTGTGGGAGTTCTTTATATATTCTGGAAAGGAGTTCCTTCGCAGATATATGCAATAACTTTCTTTTAAGCCATATTTACTAAAAAAAATTATTTGTCCAAGTATTTGGTATAATCAAGTGATTAAATTAACTTGTCATTTTTATTTTATTCTCTCATATTTTTATATCAAGTTTTAGTACAACTTTTAATATCTTGGTATAAAAATCTTACACAGAACCTTTTCTTAGGGCTGCCCTAATACGTGTTCGGTTATCTTTCTTTCTTTTTTTAAAAAAAAATATTTATTTTTTAGTTGTAGTTTGACACAATATAAAGATATTAATTTGTTTATTTTTTATGTGGTGCTGAGGATCCAACCCAGGGCCTCGCACATGCTAGGCGAGCGCTCTACCGCTGAGCCACAACCCCAGCCCCTCTTCATTTATTTTAAAAAATATTTTTAGTTGTAGATGGACACAACACCTTTATTTATTTATTTTTATGTGGTGCTGAGGATCCAACTCAGTGTGAGGCAAGCACTCCACCATGGGGCTACAACCCCAGCCCTCTTTAAGTTTGAGATATTTCCTTGATTTACTAGATTGACCCTCAGCAACAACTGGAAATTTCTACATCCTTAGGCTACTTCTCTTACCTTTGATTCCACATCTGGGTTCTCTTTCTGGGTCTCCTGGTGTCCTTTAGATACATGTCACTTCTCTAGTCTCACCGCCCCCACCCCCAGCCCCCGTGGGCTCCTGCTGCCTCTTCAAGCTCCTGGTGGAGGAGATTCTATTGAGATTTGGCATTTGTGTATCTTCCATTCAGGGGTGGGAGAAGTGGAAGAATGTGTGGCCTTGTAGCGCTGATTTACAAAGCAGCTGGACAGATTAGCGAATGACATCTGCTGAAGCCACACAGGCCAGTAATCCCACGGCACAATCTGTCAGAGGTGCAGAAGTGAATAGTCTCCACCTTCAGGAAAGGTGGTGAGCAGCGCCTCCTCTCGGAATTCTGATGCAACCACAGGCAGGAGGTGGCGGGGCAGGGAAGTTTGTCCCCAAAGGCTTCACTAACTGAGCCCCTCCATTCAGTTCTTACCCAGGCACTGAGCCAATGCCTGTGTATGGCAGACCTTCCCCTGGTCAGATGTCATTGCCTTTCTGGCCACAGGCAGGAGTTCTTGTGGATTCAGGCATTGGCCCCCTTACTAACCAGAGCTCTGGCCATCTTCCTCCTCCTGCCACTGCCTCATCGTTCCCACAGCTCTCTCCGACCCCGCTTTTGACTCAATACCAAAAGTCGCACTGTCACGCACACATTAGGTCTGTGGTAGGTCTCACCCCATGGAAATAATACACACAAGTTAGGCCCAGGGTGGGATGATGGGAACAGGGACAGGCCGTGTTCCCTGCTACCTCCAGCCCCACAGTCATGGTGGCCACTCCCACTGTTACTACCAAATATTTCCAGTTTCTGTTCTCAAAACTTGTTTCAGTGCACCAGAAGATGAACTGTTGTGATGTTCACCACCACACAGGTTCTTTCTCAGTCGGTGGCACTGCTGTTTGTTGTGCACACATGCTCTATTCATCAGGGAATAGAAATTTCTGGAAACTGGAGCATCAACTGACAGCATTATTTGGGTTCCTCTCCCCTTGGAGATGCTTTTTGGGAGTCTTAATTTATTACAATAAATTTTCTTGTCATTCCAACCAGAGTCCTCATCTTTTCTCTGTGCTTAAGGTAGTTCCAGAGGGGCGTATATTTGTGCTTGGAAGTGGTCCCCCCTCCTCTTAAGCCCCTAACTCACTACTAAGAGTTTCAGAAATATTTTCACTGGGAAATGGCCTGGGAAAACCTCAGCTATTACAATAATATATTTGGCTTTTCTCTTCTTTTTCTTCCTTCCTTCCTTTCTTTTTTTTTTCTTTCTTTTCTTTTTTTTTTTTTAAGAAGTTTGCTGCAAATCGAAAAGCCACCCATGAGAAAGTTCAATGTTAATGTTGGGAAGCAGCTTTTTGGAGGAAGGAAAATAAATTGGCATCAATTCCTCAGAGAGCAGTCACTGTGTGGTAGGCTGAGGACAAATGGTTCAAGCCAGTTCTAGAGGGCAGAGCTACACAGGAGAATTTGGGGGTTGCTGAAAATTACATGTGACATAAGGCAGGCTCTCTAAGGCAAGGAGTTAAAAATCCAGCTGGCTGTGGTGATGCATGCCTATAAGCCCAACAGCTCAGGAGGCTGAGGCAGGAGGATTTCAAGTTCGAAGCCAGTCTCAGCAATTTAGCAAGGCCCTAAGTAACTTAATGAGACTCTTTCTCAAAAAATAAAAAGGGCTGGGAATGTGGCTCGGGGGTTAAGTACCCCTGCGATCAATCTTTGGTAACCCTCACCGCCATCCCCACTCCCAAACACAAAGAGTCACATTTAACAAAGAAGCCAAAATCTACTGTAAAAAGCCAGATAATTGGGGTTGTATTTTTAGATCTTATTGTATGGGAAAAGACTGTTGTTGTTTTTGTTTTGTTTTGTTTTGTTTTGTTTTAATGTTAGAATCACATTCACTTATCATAGGAAAGGATAATGGAACAGAACTTGATTAAGGGAACAGAGGGCTTGGGGGTCCTATTTCACTTATCTTCTTTATGTGATCAAATGAAAAGAACCAATGGAATCTCTTCCTTTTTCTCTCTCTCTATTGAATGCATAGGTGAGTTCTTAACACTGGAAAATCTGTTAATGCCTATGCACACATCAGACAACTTTCCTCAATTAAGCTAAACCCAATGAAAAAGCAAAGGTCTTTACACAGTATTAAAGGGGGTAGGCACATGGAGCAAGACATCCATGGAGGCAAGAGCTCAGTATTCTGAAGAATGAATACCATTTAGAAAGGAAGAGACATGGTTGAGCAGTCTAGGAAGGATAGCATGTGCAAAGGCACTGGAGCAAGGATGTGCACAAAAAGATCTGGTCCATGGTCACTGGGTTTAAGACTGTCTGATGGGGAAGGCAGTAAGAATAGGACTAGGGTGGACACCTTGTACTGCTCTACAGTCAAAGCCATTTTCATGGATGTGTGAATATTTGAGAAGACTGCAATACCTAGTAGTGCACACCTGTAATTCCAGCAGCAGAGGAGGCTCAGGCAGGAGAATCCAAGTTCAAGGCCAGCCTGGGCAACTTAGTGAGACCCTGTATCAAAATTTAAAAATAAAATAAAAGGGCTTGGGATGTAGCTTAATGGTAGAGTTCCCCTGGGTTCAATTCCCAATACCAGGGTGGAAAAACAGAAGCCTTCAACTCATTAAGGTGATTATGGGCAAGTTACCAAACCTGTTTTCTCAGGTGCAAAATCCAGACGTAGGATTGCTGTGAAAGCCAAATGGTTGGGATCACAGGCTTTGGAGCTATAGGAATAAGGGTCCTACCCCTGCTCAGCCATTTACTAGCTGTGCAGACCTTAGACACTAGAAAGACCTTAAGCACTTATAAGTCCTTAACTTTACTGAGCCTCAGTTTCTGTACAGTAAAATGGAAAATAACCACCTCGGACATATAATGTGAGGATTAACTGAAATAATGAATATTAAATACTTAGCCAAAGGGTGACACATAGTACTCAGTAAATATTAGTTATGATGGTTGAGAAAATGATACCTCATTGAATAAATAAGTAAGGTTTCATTATCTGAAAGCACATGATTTGTTCCCAAAAGAGTTATTTTGGGATATTCTAAATAGTGCATATAAACACAACGATGGAACCTGCAAATTCCTTGGTCAGCTCCAGCACAGACCCCCAAGCTTCCAATTAGACCGGCCCCACCCCCAGCCGCTTGCAGGCCCAGCCCATCGGGTTCTCTCCAGGCCCCGCCCTGAGCGCTTATCTCCGCCCCGACGCGCCTGCGCGGGGTGGGCCGCGGCGAGCAGAGGTTATGAGGATTTTGGTGCGGCGCTGCTGGGGACCAGGGTTGGGTCATGGCGCCGCGGGCGGCAGGCCGACCTCGCAGTGGCGGATTCTGGCCAGGCTCCGCGGGTCCCTCGGCGAGGAGGACGGCCGGGACACCCGAGTCCGCGAGAAGCCGCCCTGGCGTGTGCTCTTCTTCGGTACAGACCAGTTCGCCCAGGAGACTTTGCGGGCGCTGCACGCCGCCAGGTACCCGGGCCGGGGCTGGGGGCTGGCGCTGAAGGCGTCCTTGCTGACCCTGTGCGACTGTCTCCGGAGTGTTTGGATTCCTCTTGGTGGAAAGCAGCAGCACCTTGGTGGCATGGGCCCAAATCTCGGCGTCTCGGCTCGCCGGGAAGGTGTGCCACACCTGCTGGTCAGGCTTTGGGCGCCCAGTACTGTCCGGTCTACACTCCCTGCGCCGTCGGTTTTCCAAGCGCCACCCGGCGGTGCCGAGCCAGTGGTAGGCACTTTTCCTGCAGCACCTCCGACCAGGCCTACCGCCTCCCTGCCGGTGTTGGGTGTGCGGATATCGGACTCAGAGAGGTTAAGGCATTGCCCAAGGTCATCAGCTGAGCTGATTGGAGCCCAAATCAGTTCTGACTTCAGAGTTCTCCCCTTTCCAATCATTTTGCTACCTACCAGCCATGTAATTTGTAGCCTCTAATCCTTAGGGCTTTTTTTTTTTTTTTCCTTTCTTCTTTTTAAATATCCAGGCTTGGCACCTTTTTGTGCACCTGCATCTCACTCCTGTTCCCTGGTCCACCTAGTACACAGCAGGACCCACTTTTCTGGGCCTGAAAGGAGGACATCCCCAAAACAATTTTTTTAAATGAATACATTTATAAATTAGAATTCTTAGGAGTACATTTAGTATGTATGAAATTTAACATCTTGTTTACTGGGGGGAAGAAATTGTTTGAAATTCATCCTTCCCCAAACTCCATAGTGTGTGGTGGCAATACCATATAGAGTGTTCTGCTTTCTTTCTCCAATTTGTTTTTTCTTTCTCCATTCTGTTTTTTTCCTGATACCCCCACCACCACCTCATTTCTGTATCTCACTTTATCACTTCTTTCTGTATGTATAGAATCCCTTGTTTATTGTATTTCTCTCTCCACACACCTCTGGACCCCTTTCACATTATGTTCTGGTTGCACACACTTCCTATCTTGTTTCCCATATTGCCACATGCATTTGACACTTACCCTTCTGATGATGCTTCACTTGAGAGCTTCATTACCCTAAGCTTGTTTGTTTTGGGATGTGTATGTCTGTGTGTGTGTATGTATGTATGTGGTATTGGGAATTTAATCTACCCCTGAGCTACTGCCTCCTCCCATTTAGTTTGTATTTTGAGATAGGGTCTTGCTAAACTGTCCAAGCTGCCCTTGATCCTGCTATTTTCTTGTGTCAGCCTTCTGAATCACTGGGTTTACAAGCGTGTGCCACCACACTTGGCTGTATGCTTTCTTTTTAATGCCCTGGTATATATTCCTTTTCTCTTAATTCTTCAACATGTGCATGCCTGTTTAATAAATGAACATTCAGACCCTGCAGGCTGGGGTGTATTCAGTGGTACAATGTGAAACTTACGTGTGAAGCTCTGGGTTTTAACCCCAGCACCCATAAATGAAGGAATAATATAAGTATACTGGAATAATCTCTAGCAGGTAAGAAGAATGAGGTAGTGCTGCATGTGATCCCATAAAATGATGTTCATGGGATGTATTTGGTTTATTTTTTAATTTGTTCTTTCGGGATTTGGAGCAGTGCTACATGCTTGTAATGTTAGCTACTGGGGAGGCTGAGATAGGAGGATCACAAGTTTGGAAAATTAACCAGACCCTATCTCAAAATAAAACTTTAAAAAAAAAGTATTGGGGATATAACTCAGTGATAAAGTGCCCCTGGGTTTAGTGCTCAGTACTTCCCTATCTTCTAAATTAAATTCAATTAAAACCAAATTTAAAATTTAAAAAAAATTTAAGGAGATGTAACTTATTGGTAGAGTGTTTGCCTAGAGTGCTCAAGGCCCTGGTTTGATCCCTAGCACTGCAGAAACAAAAAACAAGTATTGTGTTTTTTGAATGGCATGTGGTTATGATACAAAAGGATGCATAGCAAAGAGGCATTTCCTTCCTCCCCTGTCTCACATTTTTCAATTCTTCTCTCCAGAGACAGCCACTGCTTTCGGTTTCTTATTTTAGACATGTTCAGAGCATATACAAGCATGTGGATATTTAACTAATTTTATTTTAAAAAAAAAGACTCACATGGGCGGGATTGTGGCTCAGTGGCAGAGCGCTTGCCTCGTCCTCAGCACCACATGAAAATAAATAAATAAATCAATAAAGGTTTTTGTGTCCATCCACAACTAGAACATTATTTTTAAAAAAGACTCACATAATAACATATATAGTATTGTTAGGGGGAAAAAAGCAAAAATACAGAATAGTGAGTGTAATATCCCAATTGTATGTTTCTGTATGCACAGGAAATCTCTAGAATGATGCTGTCTAAATGTGATTCTTTAAAATGATTAAAATTAAATAAAAAAGTAAAAATTCAGTCTTTTGGTTGCACTCATTTTAATCATTTAGCCCTAAATGCTTCATGAATTTAATAATAACAATAATAATAATAATAAATAACAGTATGTGAAGTACCTTACCTTTGAGCCATGGCCCTAGAGCTCTCACATTTTTCTCTAATCTTTTTTAATTTAGGGAGAACAAAGAAGAAGAGTTAATTGAAAAACTGGAGGTGGTGACAGTGCCTTCACCATCACCAAAAGGACTTCCAGTAAAGCAGTATGCTGTGCAGTCTCAGCTTCCAGTGCACGAGTGGCCAGATGTGGGATCTGGAGAGTACGATGTTGGAGTAGTGGCTTCCTTCGGCCGACTTTTGAGTGAGACTCTTATTCTTAAATTTCCCTAGTAAGTTTATTTACAAGGAAATACAGTATACAGACTTTGGTCTTTATAAAAGGACCTGGTGTTTAAAATTTGATAATTTGAACTCTATACTTTGGCATGAATTGTTGAAATGTGTTGAGTTCCTTATCACACCCAATGGACTTTAATCTAACCTCATTTAAGTTCCATATATATAGTTGGGGATGTAGCTCAGCCACAGAGTGCTTGCCTAGCATGCACAAAGTTCTTGGTTCATTCCCAGGTACTGAAAAAGGAAATTCTTTTTTTTTTTTTTTTTTTTTTTTTTAATATTTATTTTTTAGTTCTCGGCGGACACAACATCTTTTGTTTTGTATGTGGTGCTGAGGATCGAACCCGGGCCGCACGCATGCCAGGCGAGCGCGCTACCGATTGAGCCACATCCCCAGCCCGGAAATTCTTTATATGTGCACACAACTCCTAAATTTGTCCCTTCAGAACAGCTCTTTCCTGGAACTCCAGGCCTCTAATACCCATTCCATTCTCTTTACCTCTGCTTTGATGTCTGATAGGTACCTTATGTTCAAGATGCCCAAAACCTTTCGAAATCATTGTCTCAGTAAAGACAACTCTGCCCTTCTAGTTGGATGGGCCCGAGTCATTCTTGATTTATCTATCTCCTGGCATCAGGATACCTTCAGTCCATCAGGATATTCTATTGCCTCTACCTTCAAAATCATCTCATAGTTTCACTTTCCTCCATTACTGCAGTAGTCTCCTGTGTCATCTCTGCCTTTATCCTTGGCCTTTCTGTCTTTTACTAACCCAGCAACCAAAGTGATCCTTTAAAAGCACAAGTCAGATCATGTAATTTTGCTCCAAATCCTCTGAGCATTTCATTCAGAATAAAAGGCAAAATTTTTTTGTTGGCTTACGAGGACCTACATGTTTCGTCCCCTCTGGCTGTCTGACCTCACCTAGGAACTGTTCCTCTGGTTCACTGTATTCCATCCACATTGACCTTCTTATTGTGCTAAGCATTTACTTTTTTAAGATCTTTGTATTTATAGTTCCATCTGCCTAGAAAGCTTTTCTCCGGTATGATAGTCATACACCACATAACGACATTTCAGTCAATGGCAGCTTATTTGATAGTTACCCGTAAGGTTATATTGCCCGTGATGTCATTGCCAACTTAGTTTGTGTGAATACATGCCCTAATTTTCACAGAACAGAATCACCTCACAGTGTGTTTCTCAAGACATATCCCCTTGATTAAGCAACTCTTGACTATCTGCATGGCTTATTCCCTTACCTATTCATTGTCTTTGCCCAAGTGTCTTGTTGGTAAAGCTTTTCTTAGACCACTATTGAAATTGTAAGCCACGCATGGTGGTGCATGCCTTTAATCTCAGCTGCTGAGAGGCTGAGGCAGGATCACAAGTTTGAAGCCAGCCGGGCAACTTAGTGAGATCCTGTCTCAAAAAAAATAAAAAGAGCTGAAGATTTAACTCAGTGCTAAAGTACATGAGCAATATCCTAGATTTAATCCACAGTATTCCCGCCCCACCCCCAATTGTGTTCTCCCACCCAGTACTCCTATCCCTTTCTCTGCTCTGTTTTTTCCCCTAGACTTCAGCACCATCTGGCAAACTTTTAACATACAGTGTTTTTTTTGTGTGTGGTTTTTTTTTTGTGTGTGTTGTTTCTTTGATTTATTGTTTATTTTCCACTCTTTGCATGTAAGGGCAGGAGTTTTTGTTTTTTGGTTTTTTCTGTTTCTAACACTTAAATCCCTAGCTAGCACTTAGTGTCTGCACACAGATTGTACCCAGTGAATATTTGTTGGATGAGTGGGACTGGGCTGTACAGTAGGACTTAGAATAATTATAAAGCTTTCTCTCACACACATACACACACTCAAGTGTAGGCTTGTGCTGACGGACACAAACCAATGATAGAATAGTAAAATATTTAAATTACTCCTCAGTGCATGGTAGGTGTAGTGGGATAAACAGCAAAGGTGAACAGATCATTAGATGGGGATTTAGGAAGCTTGCTTTAGGCATTCTATGAACAGAAATTAAATGATATAACTATCAATATAATTTCTTATGTCTGTGATGTGCACAATAGGGTTTGAGGGGTTCCTCTCATATTGTAATAAATGCATTTTAAAACTTCCAGATATCACAAGCTTTTATAGAACACTTTGGAATAATGAATGGTTGTTCTTGCTTTGCTTTTAATTAAGTTTCATTGGTTTTTTTATGGTAAGAGAGTGAACTTACATGTGACTTATGTTTTTTTAGGTGATTCAAGACTAGATTTAGCTCTCTGGTCTTTTTTAATTTCTGGGAAAGCTTAAGGATGAGCAGTATTATATTAGTTTAGGTAGTAGTAACTAAATAGTAAAGCCACTGACTTACTAATTTCTGCATTTTCTAATTTAGTGGCATATTGAATGTCCATCCCAGTTGCCTCCCGCGATGGCGTGGTCCAGCCCCTATAATCCATACAGTGCTTCATGGAGACCTGATTACTGGAGTGACAATTATGCAAATTAGACCTAAAAGGTAGAACATATTTTTTTTTCTTGAGATTTTTCTGATTTTAAATGTTAATATCAGTCTTTTGGGTGCCTGAGTGGACGGGTGAATGGACAGTGCTCAATTCTCCAACTTCCTTGCTTTTATATCCTTTCTGTTGTTTCATAATTTCTAACATAAGCCCTTAAAGTCCTTATGAAATTGTTAATTTGTTAGTTGAAATAAATTATGAACACCTGGATTTCTATAAAAAAACATTGTGTAAGGGCTGGGGCTGTGGCTCAGTGGTAGAGCTCTTGCCTGGCATGTGTGAGGCACTGGGTTCAATTCTCAGCACCATAAATAGATAAATAAAATAAAGGTCCATCAGCAACTAAAGAAAAGAAATGGTTACTTTAAAAAAAAAATCTAAGTACAGGCCATATTTTGCTCTTCTTTCAAATTGATGTTTCTACCTTGCCAATGATTGACAGTCAAATTTGTAGCCTGCAATAAACTATCTTTGTGCTATGTAGACAAACATTGATCTTAAGAAATAGTAGTCACATTATTAACTTTTGTTTTTCCCTAGGTTTGATGTAGGCCCAATTCTCAAGCAGGAGACCATCCCTGTGCCACCCAAGAGCACTGCCATGGAACTAGAAGCACTGTTATCAAGACTAGGAGCCAACATGGTATAGTTCTCCCATATTCCTTTGCTTTTCACTCACTCAGTAGGTCTCCCAAGTGGTTCTGAGGAAAGAACACTTTTATGATTTGTAATTTTAAGCTTCTGTTGTTTTCTTTTCCTGGCTTCCTAAAAAGTAGCCTCGTATTTGTGGTCTCATATAAATCTTTGCAGATTTGCAGAGTGGGTTCTTAAAAAAGGCTTTCAAATAAAACAGATGATCATCCATGGACTGAGGCCTTTACACTAATCTGCTCAGGTTCTTTCTCCTTCCTCATATATGTACCTTGCCTGCCTGTCAGAGTGAACTAACAGTCATTTGCTAAGTAACTCAGTTTTTCTCTCCCTCTGTCCTGGGTTCTAGTCATTTGCATCTATATGCACTGAAATTCTGCTGACCACCCTTCTATAGATGATCTTTGTTCTCTCTGTGGCTTTGCGTAGCTTGTTCAATCTGTTAACCATAGGTCTAGAAAGATGCTTAGTGACTAAATTCACATTTTTCATTTGAACTAGCTAATTTTATATAGTGTAATATTTTTTTCCCACAACTATAGATGTTACTTCCTATTTTGGCACTTCCTTGGAAATGATTTGATAATATCAGCTGCCATTTATTGAGCATGAACTCATGTGCCAAAACTGTTTTAGATTCCTGTTTGTTTGTTTTTTCCCCCTTCTTAGAAACCTTTGCACAATTGCTATTGATTGACAGATTATGACATTGAATGCCACAGAGAAGTTAAATAACTTCTGCACAATAAGACAGCAGTAGGTGGTAGAAGTGGGATTTGAACACAGAGCTATATAACTCCAGAGTACATTCTTTCTGAGAGCTCCACTGCTTTCTGTGGGGTAAGAATGTAGGTAGCTGAGCACAGGCTGTCCTTATGCAGAGATCATGCACAGCCAGGGAAAGCCCCAAATTATCTGGAAACAAATCAGTGCCTTACACTTCATCGAGAGGAGTTCCACCAAAACTCCACTGAAGTCAACTTGCATCCTCACACAGCTTAAGCCAATTTACTACCTGTAGCCACCCAGCTAACATTATAGGTAATTTCATGGTGCTGAACTACAAGATATTTCTGCTTTGCTTTTCTGTGCATCTTGAATATATCATGTGCTCTCTTTGTAGCTTATTTCAGTTTTGAAAAATTTGCCTGAAAGTCTGAAAAATGGAAAGCAGCAGCCTGCTGAGGGAGTGACACAAGGTGAGTGAGACTGCAGAGACTTCACATCTTGTGTAAGGTTTTGTTTGTCCTGATGGTATCTGAATACTGGCTTTTTGCTGTACTTTTCCTTTAATTTTGACAAGGGTGAGTGCCCACTTGTAAGTCCTTTTCCAAAGAATGGTTGGTGAGCTCCACCTCTCCCTCTTAGCATATAGTCTCATGAAGGATTCAACTTTTACAATTTTATTTTGAAAAATATTAAATGTAGCAATAAATTTAAAAACTAGTATAATGAATATCAATGTATCCCAATAAATTATTAATATATGACCATATTTTCCTTCTGTGTATATATTCAGTGTGTGTATTTTAAATTTTGCTTATTCATTTGCAAGTGTGAAAATGGCCTTTTATCTCTAAGTATTTTACTATGCATTTCTTTAGAAAAATAATTACTAAAATGTATTTTATAGCTTTTTTTTTTTTTTAATAAGGATCCAGGGAACACAAGACTGTTCAAATCTCTTTTCACCAATTTCAGTCCTAATTAGGCCCTAATCAAATAAATGTAATTTTTTTTGGTTGGTTTTTGCAGTGCTGTGTATTGAACCCAGGGGAAATTTTTTATTTAATTAAAAAAGAAAGAATTTTAGGATCCAGTTATTAGTTGTTATATCTCTTTTGTCTCTTTAAAATAATTTCTCCAGACTGGACACAGTTGTAATCCCAGCAGCTCAGGAGGATAAGGCAGGAGGATTATAAGTACAAAGCTAGTTCAGCAACTTAGCAAGACGCTAGGCAACTCAATGAGATGCTGTCTTAAAAGTTAAAAAAAAAAAAAAAGAGGGCTGGGGTTGTGGCTTGGGCTGGGGTTGTGGCTCAGCACTAGAGTACTCATCTAGCACATGTGAGGCCCTGGGTTCGAACCTCAGCGCCACATATAAATAAATAAAATAAACATATTGTGTCTAACTACAACTAAAAAATAAATATTTTTTAAAAAAAGTTTAAAAAAAAAGAAAAGGGCTGGGTATGTGGCTCAGTGGTTAAGCACCTCTGAGTTCAATGCTGGTACCAAAAATAAATAAATAAAATAAAATAATTTCTCCACTATTCCCCCCCCATTGTATCATTAACTTCTTGAAGAGACCAAGTCAGTTATCTGATTTGTTTCCTTCTAGTATAGTTTATATCCCTTATATTTCGCATAAATTAGAAGTTCTAAAGGTTTGGCTAGATTCAGATTTGAAGTTTTTAAAAAGTATTTCATAGATGGTACTGTATTTCAATAACATATGTGCTAGCTTAGGCATTGCTTTTTATTTTTCTTTATGATTTAATTTTAATTTTTGAATATGTAAAATATATACCTGATTCAAAAGTTAAAACCATTCAAAAGAATATACTTAGCAAAATCTTTCTTTTGTCCCCTCCAACCTTAGGTATCACTTTGGCAAGTCATGATATCATGTTGCATGAAAAGAAAGCTAAGAGAAAGCATAGAAACGCTAACTTTGATCATTGATTAGAATGGTGACCACCAGATCTTTACAGTGTAACGATGTATTTTTCCTTCTGCAATTAACAGATAATCTCCAGGGTGATACTTTTGCACTGTGCAAGTATCCCTACTTATTTGTTATGTGTTTAATAGTTCCAATATTATAATACTGATATTACTACTAACTGTGCAATTACTAAGATTTAAGATTTCTTGTAATTTTTTTCTTTGTCCTTAGACTATATGCTACTAAGTTGTACAATCAAATTACTATGTTTAAGACTTGCTGGAGATGATTTTTTTTTCCACATATTTTTATTATCTACTTTGACTACTAGGGTTTGTTTATTCAGTTTGTTTTCAGTTTTAGGAGTTGCTTTATTTCTCTTTGTGATTAAATTTTAGTTTTTGAAAATGTTAAATATTTACGTGATTCAAAAATTAAATAATTTAGGCCTGGCACAGTGGCATACACAAATGTAATCCTAGTACCAGAGGCTAAAGCAATAGGATTGCAGGTTCAAGGCCAAACTGTCAACTGAGCAAGACCCTGACTTAAAAATAAAAAATAAAAAGGGCTGTGGAGGTAGCTCAGTGGTAGAGCCCCCCAGGTTGCAATTCTCAGTCCTGGGGGAAATAAAGAATAAAAAAAATTATTATAAAAACAATTTATAAAGGTATGCTCAGAAGTTCCCCTTTCATCCCCATCTCATCCAATTCTATTCTATTCTGTCCATCTATAGAGAATTATTTTTATTAATAGTTGATCATTGGAATGGTGACTACCAGAGCTTTCCAGTGTAAACCAAGTTTCTTCAGTCTTCCAGTTTTTACTTCTGTCAAAATTAGCAAAAACATATATATTGTTATTTTGTTATTTTCTTTTTACTTAACAATGTATTGTAGAGACCACTAGCTATTAAGACAACTTTCTTTCTTTCTTTTTTTTTTTTTTTTTTGGTGGTAGTGGGGGTTGAACCTAGGAACTTGTTCTTGCTAGGCAAGTGCTTTACCACTGAGCTACATCTGTAGCCCGCCTTTTCTTTTTTATGGCAACATAATTCTCAATTGTGTGGATATATCATAATTTATTCAGTAGAGTCCCTATTGATGGGTTGTTTTCAGTTTTTTGCTATTTAAATACTACTACTCTAAATAATTTAATGTGCATTGTACTTCCTAATCCAGTAGGTGAGAAATTGTATCTGGGAGTAGTTTAATGTCCATTATTCGTATGAGTAATGTTGAAAATCTCTCCCTTTTTTTTTTTTTTTTTTGGTCAGGGGATACTGAGTATTGAACCCAGGGATGCTTTACCACTGAACTACATCTCCAGCCCTTTTTATTTTTATTTTGAGACAGGGTTTTGCTAAATTGCTCAGGGCCTCACTGAATTACAAAGGCTGGTCTTGAACTTAGCAATCCTCCTGCCTCAGCTTCTTGAGTTGCTGGAGTAATAGACAGTAGATCTTTTCATATATGTGTAAGGAAGGTTTGCATTTCCTTTTTTTGAGAGGTATCATTACCTTTGGCCCATTTTTCAATCAGAGTTTTGGTCTTTTTTTTTTCCCTCAGTTTTTAGGAGTACTTTATATAATACAGAAATTAGCCTTTGTGATATAAACTGCAGATTCTCTCAGTTTGTCATTGCAAATACTTATTCTGCCACTAAGCTGCGTCCTCAGCCTTGTCATTTGTGGGTTTTTTTTTTTTCTTTTAATAACTTTATTTCTTATTTACTTTTGTATGTGGTGCTGAGGATCAAGCCCAGTGCTTCACATGTGCTAGGCAAGTGCTCCACCACTGAGCCACAACCCAAGCCCATTGTCATTTGTTTTTTGATTTAACTTATAGCATTTCTTTTTCTTGTTAAAAAAAAAAAAAAAAAAACATCATTAATTGCTTCTGGACTTTGAGTCCTAGTTAGTTAGAAGAGCCTTTTCTATTCCCACATTATAAAGTAGTTCACTTGTGTTTTTGTTTTTTTAACTTTTTTTTTTAAGTTGTAGATGGACACAATACCTTTATTTTTATGTGGTGATGAGGATTGAACCCAGTGCCTCATGTTAGGTGAATGCTCTTCCTCTGAGCCACAACCCCATCCCCTTGTGTTATCTTTTAGTGCTGGTTTGGTTTATTTATTTTTACTTCATATTGTGGGAAATTTTGAACACACAAAAGTTGTTGTTATTCAGCATCAATATTTATTAATTCTTGAGTATTGAACCTGATGTTCTTTCTTGTTCTTGGCTTTACCTTGTAGCTCCTAAGATTTCTGTTGGTACCAGCTGTATAAAATGGGAGGAACAAACTTCAGAGCAAATATTCAGACTTTATCGTGCCATTGGAAATATAGTAAGTTGAGAAGTCATGCTGCAATTTTACCTAATTGGGTTTTTGTATGTAATTTGCTTTCTGAATATTTTTATTTAAGAATGAATCTTATAAACTAAACCTACAAAACCTGAAATTTATTTTTAGGTATTATTTAAGTTTTGATGGAGGCATTAGCATTTATAAATTACTTTCAAATATAAGTTTTGCAGTTTCTTTTTTTTTAATATTTAAAATGCCTTTATTTTATTTATTATTATTTTTATGTGGTGCTGAGGATCAAACCCAGCGCCTTGCATGTGCTAGGTGAGCGCTCTATCGGTGAGCCACGACCCAGCCCCAGTTTTGCAGTTTCCTATAACCAAATTCCATTTCACAGACAAGGGGAATGAAAACTAGTTAAGGTGCTCGTAAAAATGATTTGAGTCTTATAACTCCTAATCCAGTGCTCTTTCTAGTATATCTTTTTCCCTTTGGCCAATTTTTTACAAACAGATTTTAAATCATTGATTTCTACATGTGATACACAAAGAGGAGTTGTAATGTCAAAGCTTGTTAAAATATCCAAGTTAAATTCTCAGTTCCCTGACAAATTTTTTTTTGTTTTTTTCCTTTCTTTCTTTTGATGACCATTTGTATTATTTAAATTCTGAGTTTACCAAGAATGTGTTTTTTAATGGACTACCTCTGATATTAATGTGGGTAAAATGGGAGCTACCATTGGGTATCTGTGGCATGCCAAGTTCTTCAGTGAGGATCACAACTTCATTTTGTACTTATTAGTAGCTCAAAGTCAGCAAACTCCAAAATATTCATAACACATACAAGAATTAAAAGGCTAATTCTCTAAATATGTAAAAGGTTTTCATAAACTAGTAAGAAATGAACAACCCAGTTTTTTCAAATATGGGTTAAGGGCATAAATAGGTAATGTATAGCGAAATAAATAAAAATGTAAGTAAATACATTGACAGCTTCTCAGCCTTACTAATCCAAACAGCAGTTGTCATTTTTTTTGTTGTTGTTCACCTATAAGGTAGTTTAACAAGACAATGTTCCTATCAAAACAAAATGGCTTCTTTGCAGAAGTTGACAAGCTGACCCTAAAATTCACAAGGAATTGCAAAGGGCTCATTAAATCAGATTTGTGGGGTGGGGAGGCAGAGAGGCAGAGAGGCAGAGAACTTGCACTTCCTGATTTCAAAACTTACTATAAAGCAACAGCAATCAAACAGCATGGTACTGGCTATAGCCTAGTGGAATAGAATCAACATTTATGGGTAATTGGTTTTTTTTTTTGTTTTTTTTACAAGAATGTCAAAATAATCTAATAGAAACAAGTTTTGGACATGGTGCTAAATGTTTACAATCAAAAGAATGAATTTTGAGGGGCTGGGTTGTGGCTGAGTGGTAGAGCACTTGCCTTGCACATGTGAGGCATTGGGCTCAATCCTCAGCACTACTTGAAAGCAAGGCCACACAAAAACTTGCAACATTATTTGGAATAGACAAAAAGTGTAAATGACCCAAATGTCCAACAAATGATGGCTACATAAATAAAATATAGTTTATCTATAGATGAAATATTACTCAGCCATAGTCATAACCATATGATACAACATGTATAAACTTTGAAAACATTATGCCAAATAAAAGAAGCCAGTCACAAAAGATCATATATTGTTTTGTTCCATTTATATGAAATGTCCAGAATAAGCAAATCCAGTGCCTGAAGGGAGAGGGTGATGGGGAGTGTTTGCTAATGGTAGGCTTTTGGGGGGTCAGGCTGGTGGTGAAAAAATTGGTGCCATGGTTGCACAATTCTGTGAACCTGAACACCACTGAATTATACTCTTTAAAAGAGTGAATTTGGGGGCTGGGAGTGTGTAGCTCAGTGGTAGAGCACTTGCCTACCATGCATGAGGCCCTGGGTTCAATCCTCCTACTGCAAAAAAAAAAGGATGACTTGTATATTATGTGAATTATGTCTCAATGAAGCTATCAAAACCAACCAACCAACCCCAAGGTTAGAAAGACCTGGATGTGTTTGAAGGATGGAAATTAGACTGGTGTGGCTAATACAGAGCCGTCAAGGTAGAGATTAGCATAAAGTGAGGTCAGAAGCAAGCAGGATTGATGTGTAATCCCCAGACAATGTTGATGCTCTTTAATCCAAACACATCATTTAAAAAAGCAAAACAAACAAACAAACTCAATGGCTCAGGAGGTTGAGGCATGAGAATTGCAAGTTCAAAGCCAGCCTCAGCAATTTAAAGTGGCCCTAAGCCACCTAGCAAGACCCTGTCTCAAAATAATAAATTAATTAAAAGGGCAAGGGATGTGGCTCAGTGGTTAAGTGTCCCTGGATTCAATCCCTGGTACCAAAACAAACAAACAAACAACAAAATCCCAAACCAAAAATGTTGCAGCTTGAGAGAGAGCTTTATGATAAAAATCATAAGGGCTGGGGCTGGGGCTCAGTGGTTTAGTGCTTGCCTAGCATATGTAAGGCACTGGGTTCGATCCCCAGCACCATGTAAAAATAAGTAAATAAATAGTAAACAATAAAGGTATTGTGAACATCTGACTTTAAAAAAAAAAAAAATCACAAGGCCTTGGGTTTGATCCTAGCACCACCAAAAAGAAACCAAACTATTCTGCAGAAATATATGTGCTCAAAGATATGTCAATAAGGATTTTTATTATATTTTATAATTTTAAAATTGGGAATAACTGAAATATCATAAAGGTATTGGTTGTATACTTATGTTACATGCATAAAATGAGATATTGTGTTGCGTATGCAAGGTGAAATAGATCAGTATGTGCTAATGAAACAAGTTGCTTATAAAACAGTATGTTTTAGATTTTTGTAATGGTAACATCTGTAGAAAAAATACAGGGAAACACATCAGACTGTTAACAGTGGTTACCTATGGGGTTAAAATACAGAATACTGTCAATTTCTAATTTTTTTTAACAAGTGATGTAATGCTTTCGTAAGCATAAATGTTTAATTGCAAAGACTATGTAAAGAGTTGCATTTGTGTTCTGTTCCATAATATTTAGTGACTGATTCCCCGATTCCTCTGTACATAGGAGAAAAATCAGACTAGACTAACAAAACTGTAGTTGCAGCAGGTTTGGAGGTTGAGTGTATTTATCATTCCTTTAATTCCACCCCCCCCCTCTTTTTTTTTTTTTTTTCCTTTAATCTTAATTTCAGATCCCGTTGCAGACACTCTGGATGGAGAACACCATTAAACTTCTGGATTTGGTAGAAGTTAACAATTTAGTCCTTGCTGGTATCAACTTTTGATTATAAATTTTTTTCATTTATAATCAATTTGAAAATGTGTCTGTTTTTAGCACAGTTCACATTTATTGAAAGTAAGGATTTTTATAGTTTGTTTCAGTTCAATAATGATAATACTTTACATCTCCTTATGTTTTATTCTTTGCAGTGTCCATTCACATGTATTTTTTCATCACAAGAACCTGGGAAGTAGAGCAGTGTTCCTTTCCCATTTTAAGCTTTGTGACTTCCTAAATTGAGGTCTTCCAGGGCTGCAAAATTACTTGATTAATTTCTTTCTGATGAATATCATAATGAAAACATCTGGGCAGCTCAGTGAGAATCTAGGCCAGGGTGTAGCATTTCACACCACAGATCTATTCTTAAGCCCATCAGTGTCCTCAATGGTCTAGTCTAAAGGTAGTTGGAGTTCTCCAGGAATCTAAGAATGGGGACTGGTTTGGGTGGGGATGGAAGGGCCAGCGTAAATCCTAAGGATCCTGTATTTCTCCCCTGGTGGGTAGTTATTCCCCCAAAATTACAACATAGAACTTTTAGGTGATCACCAGGAGACTGAGTAAATAACTTGGAGCTTCTTATGGGTACAGGAAGCTTTTCTTTGGGTTTGTGATGTACAACAGAACACTGTATTTATATTACAAAGCCAGTGCATCAGGAAATGTGTCCTCTCCAATATTAGTACTGCCTCCCGGGTAGTTTTTTATTTTTAAGAAGTACCAAAAAGTTATATAATTATTTTTTCCTCTCTTTGTGTCTCATATCTTTTCCCCTCCATTCTTTAGATGCAAAACTAACAAGACAGACTCTTACTCCAGGATCAATAATATACCACAAACAGTCAAAAATATTGCTAGTTTATTGCAAGGTATGTTTTCCATTGGTTTCAAATTACCATATTTGTATTGCTGAATTTATGTTTGTATCATTTATCATCTTAATTAGGATTTCACTTAAGTGCCTACCAATCATATTGGACAGTCTAATTTTCTTAATAGTAAAATCTCTAGCATAAATTTTTCAAAGCAGTGAAGATTGCCAAGGCATTCTCAATGAAGAATATTCCACAATGATTGCTTTCTTTTTTTCTCTGATACTGGGTTGAATCCAGGGCCACTCTACTAGCTCTCTTTATTTTTTATTTTTTAAATTCAATTAATTAATTAATTTGGTGCTGGGGATTGAACCCAGGGCGCCTTTTATTTTTATTTTTTATTTTGAGGCAGGTTCTTGCTAAGTTGTTTAGGTCCTTGCTGAGTTGCTAGAACTTGGGATCCTCCTGCCTTAGTGTCCCTACCTGTTGTTGGGATTTACAGGCTTGTGCCACCGTGCCCAACTAGAACCATTATTTTATAAGACAATGGTGTGTTCCACTGAAAAGCATTTCATATTTTTTGTCAAATGGTATTTATGTAAGATGTTACACACTCAAGAAAGGGGCATTAACAGATGTCAGTGAATGGATAAAAATAATGTGATACACATACACTCACACAGATGGAGTTTTATTCAGCCATAAAGAAGAATAAAATTATGTCCTCTATGGAAAATTGGATGCATCATAAGCAAAGTAAGCTAGACTCAAAAAGTCAAGGGTCATATGTTTTCTCTAGAAAAGAAGAAAAGGGAAGCTAGAAAGAAAAAGAAAAAAAGGGAATCTCATGAAAATAAAGGGAAATCAGTTGGGTACAGAAAGGAGACTTGGGGGAGTTGGAAAGGGAAATACTGGGGATTTAAATTGATCAAATTGTGTCATGTGCATGTATAGACATGCCTCAATGAAACCCACTATTCTGTATAATTATTATGCACCAAAAGAAATAAAAAGAAGGTATGCTTAAAATGCTAGATTGATGTAACCCACCCAAACTATAGATACAGAAGTCTTCCATCAACCTCTCTTCATCTCTCTTTGCCTTCTCCTAAAACAGGAGAATATGACTTGCTTATTGGGAATATGTCTTGCTGTCTTTGACCCAGATGTGTATATATTGTTTCATTATTATAGTTGCTCTCACAGAAGAAACAGGCTCTGAGAACATGGGAATTTAAGTCTCACCAGTTGTGTTACCTTGAGGAAAAAAAAAATCACTCACCTTCTGAGGGCATCAGTTTCTACTCCTAAAATGGGATTTGCGTTTTTATTTTTGGTAATGGGCATTGACTCAGGGGCATTTTACCAGTGAGTCATATCCCCAGTCACCACCCCCCTCTTTTTTTTTATTTTTTTATTTTTTTTAGCACAAAAGAGTAGGATTTATTCAGGTAAGCAGAAAAGAGCTCCAACAGAGCAAGAGGATCCAATAAGTGTTGCCCCCGCCCCTTTTTTTAAATTTTGAGATGGGGTCTCCCTAAGTTGCATAGTCCATTGCTAAATTGCTGAGGCAATATAACATTTTTTTACTTTATTCCCTGTGTGTTGAAATAGGTTTATATAGGTCTGTAAGTTATCTCTCCTTGGTAATAAACTTTTGAAGTAAACGGATTATATATGTTGCTTAGTATGGTGTTATTTACAGCTATATATTCAGTAGATATTTTTGGTTTGTTTCCATTATAAAATATGTTATAATCTAAAATTTACTTAGTTTTCCAGTCTTGCCACCACCTGCCTAGTCACTGCTTATCCCTTTGCACTTTAGGATGGCTGGATTGGTGTTCGATCGGTAATGCTTAAGAAAACATTAACAGCAACTGATTTCTACAATGGATATTTGCACCCCTGGTACCAGAAAAATTCCCAAGTTCAACCAAACCATTGCAAATTTAAGACACTCAGACTTCCAACAAAGAAGAAGCCGGAAAACAAGTTGTTGCTATGCAACAGTGCATTAAGTAATTAGGAAGAAGATGGACAGAACCTATTGCATATTTGTAATTTATTAAAAGGCTTATTTACAAGGAATTATTTTGACTTTCAAAGATTATTATCAAAAAGATGGATTGCCTCACTTTCCACATTTTTTGTGTAATAATAGTTAAAAGCAGCTTTTTCTACTTTAATAACAAAAGAAGTTTAAATAAATTTTGTATTTATAATGTCAGACTCCGGGAGATATATCTTTCCCCATGAGCAAGGGCAACTGACTGGTATGTATATATTCTGAAGAGAGGTTCTTTTAAAATAGTGCATTTACTGAATTTTTAAAATTGTGTGTCCCTGCGCACTATATTTCTTGGAATTTTTAGTCTACATTTCTAAGCTTCATTAGGTAGCAAAAATCAGCTCTTTAATTTCCACTTCCAGCTAGGGCTCATCAAGTAGCAAACCTAGATAATATTTAATAACCTCTGCCCTGTTGATTTGTACTATAAATTCACTTTTGTGTGTGTGTGGTACTAGGGATTGAACACACGGCCTTATGCATGCTAGGCAAGCAATCTCACACTGATCTACATCCCAACCCTTTTTTATTTTGAGGCAGGGTCTTGATAAAGTCTCCCTGGCTGACCTCAAACTTTTAGTTCTCCTGTGTTAGCCTCCCAGGTAGCCAGATTACAGACATGCACTCCCATGCCTGGCTAAATTCACATTTTAAATCAGCGTTTTCTTGAAGTAGGAAGATGCTAACATTTTTCAACTGATTTGCAATAAAGATTACTGAGCATCTATTCTGCAAATCCATTTTCTGTCTCCAGGAAAGGCACGCACTTCCAAAGGAGATACAGGTACAGTGGCCCCTATTGGGTTTTTACTTGAGAATCTTCACATCTCAGTTTTTTTCTGCCTAGATTCTATCAGCTAAAGTTTTTCTTCATTCACTGATTAACTTATTCATTCAGTAGAGTTTGTTGATAGGTTGATCATATGATTGGTCATCTAAATTAGAACACTTTCATGAGTGGAAGGAAGCACTTATAATAATTACACCAGCACAACAGACATAAGCCAGGACCCTCCCAGGCATACTGGGTGGTGACATTCTATTAACTGAACATTTAAAGTATAACTAACTCGTCTCTATATTATTTGGAAACTTAAATCCATTGGGGGCACAGACATGTAAGTGTATGTAAAACAGTTATAAATGCCATAGTGAAGATATAATAGAAGCACTGCGTGTCCTCAGGGAAGTCAATGGAAGCTTTCCAGGGGAGATAAACTGAGGTTCACTATGCAGCATGATGCCTGGAAGGGTATCCTAGCATGTGCAGAGACTTATCTTAAAGGGGGCTTTATTAATGTGAGGCTTTGGCTGGTTGTGGAAGCATGATTGCTCTTTTATTATCATTCTTGAAATCATACATTTCTTACACATTCTCTTGCATGTATGAGCCAGTTATATACTTATGTATAAAAGCTGGCTGGGGAGAAACTAACATGGATCATTTTGGAGGGAAAACAAATGGCAAGTTAAACACAAAACAGCACATTGTTTTGAAAAATTTCAAGAATTGACATGAATGGAATATAGTGATATAGATATACAGACGGAAAGCAAGCTTAGGCCAAATAAGGAGGGCTTTGAATACTAAGATCCCATATTTGGGACCTTGTCTTGAGACAGATTAATTTGGGAGTGACATATCCAGATTTATATTTTGGATTAATTTTGGTAGCAGTGTGAGAGATTGAGGGTGAAACCTGGGCAAGAGGATCTGAATCACAACAGCAGTTATAAGCATGGGTGGAAATTTAAAAATATTTTTCCTGTGGAGGTCAGTGAACTTTATTGTGTCTTTATGGAGATTTGGCTCTGCCACTTATTAGACCTTGTCATTTGTCGGTGGTACATACCTGTAATCCCAGTGGTACACTCCCAGTGACTGGGGAAACTGAGGCAGGAGGATTGCAAGTTCAAGTCCAACTTCAAAAACTTAAAAAACAATGAGAGACTGTGAAAAAAAAATATGGTGTTTCTCAGTTAATATGTATTGGGCACTTATTCCCTTCAGGGACTATGCTTGTATTAGAGAGTTCGTAGAGAATGAAGATTGGTGTCCTCTGGGAGCTCCTGGGTGTGTTTTTCTGCAAGGAGATGTGCTATCTAACTTTGTCACTATGACAAAATACCTAAAATAAATAATTTATAAGGAGGAAAGATTTGTTTTGTTTCATGGTTTCAGAGGTTTCAGTTAATAGTCAGTTGATCCATTGCTTTTGGTCCTGTGGCAGCACAGCCATCATGATGGGAGTGTGTGGTAGAGGAAACTTCACCTCATGGAGGCTATGAAATAGAGAGAGGAAGAGGAACAGGGTGGAATACCAATACCCTCTCCAAGGGCATGCTCTCAGTGACTTAACTTCCTCCAAGTAAGCCCCACCTCCTCAAGTTTCTTTCTGCCATCGCCCAGTAGTGCCATAGGCTGGGGACCAAGCCTTCATTGCATGGGCCTTTGAAGGACATTTCCAAATCCAAATTATAGTAGAGTGCCTACTCAGACACTGGCCACAGGGAGGGGGGAAACCTCACTGAAGGCACAGCTCATTGCCAGAGCTATGACCCAGGAAAGACTGGACTCCATTTGTAACACCTAAGGAATTTACTGCCTCTCTCATTCCCCCACTCTAGAGGTGCAAGGGGAGCACCTGTAAAATGCTAGAAAGAATCACAAAGAAAATCTCTCCAACCTTCCTTTGGTGAAGCAAGAATCTTTTTTTAAAAAATTTTATTTATTTTTAGTTGTAGTTCAACACAATACCTTTATTTTATTTACTTATTTTTAAGTGGTGCTGAGGATCAAACCCAGGGCCTCCCATGTGCTAGGCGAGTGCTCTACTGCTGAGCCACAACCCCAGCCCCGAAGCCAAGAATCTTGAAGTATGCATTTTAACTATTGGTTGCAAAAAATGTTTCTTAATACATCTTTAAGACCGGGCAGAGTAGGGTTACATTTATTACAACAGTAAGTAACTGCTATAACTGCAAGGAGGCAAAGACTAGAAAGCCATTAGGAGTAGGGCAGCAGTGGAGTTGGCCCCTACTCCTCTGTTCCCCATAGTTCCCCTGATGGCACGTGTGTTCTCTGCTTAGTGGTTCTGATCTCTTACTACCTACTGATTAAGGTTCGCCATCTGCCACTGCATGCTCTGGGCAGAGCCTATCTGATTGTTTTGTCAATTACCATTACCCTTGCTTCAAAGAACCTTTTGTACCATACCACTTCTAGTTCTTCATCTATTCAAGTCAAGGCTCACCTCCACAGGCCACTAATTTCACACTGCATAAAAAACAGCCCATTATGGAGGAGGGAGCTGTGGAAGTTGATCATCATGAGTGGCATGTTGTAAGACTTAAAACTAAATGAAATAGTTTTTTCATACATTTGAAATCTTGAGGTAAGATCCACCATACAAAATGCAGTTTCTCATTCAGGGACCCTCAAGCCCCTCTTGAGACTCTAGGATAAACACCAGGTATAGAAACGCTCTTAGGGTCTGGGGAGTAGCCCATTGGTGGAGTGCTTGCCTACTGTGTGTGAAGCCCTGAGTTCAATCCCCAATACCACACAAAAGAAACAAACAAACAATGTACATACCAAGTAGGCCTCAGGAAACCATATGATTTATTCTTTGTTCAGGCCCCAACCCAATGTGATTGAGCGGGATTTCTCATTTGAACCAGAGTCACCTGGAGCAGCTCCTTGAGCTCCACTCCAGATCTTAAATCCAAATCTCTGAATATCAGACTGCATTTTCTCACACCAAATAATCTTTATGCTAAAACAGCAATAGTCTTTTTTTTGTGTGTGTGTGTGTGGTGCCCAGGAATTAAACCAGGGCCTTGTGCATGTGAGGTGAGCACTCTACCAACTGAGCTATATCTCCAGCTGCAACAGTAATAGTTTTAACTAGCTTGAGAAGTGCACATGGATTTGTCACACGTTAACCCCTAGGTTCAGAGTCCTCCTAGGAAGGTAGAACATAGCCTATTCTAATCTCTGGTTCAAAGGATAGATTTACAAACACATGGCCTCCTTACACAAGATGCTTCTATTTTGGTTCTTGTTGTGAAAAAAAAGAAAAAACATGCTTTGCATCAGACTCCAAACTGAATTCAGTTGCTCGGTACTAGTTGAATGACTTAGGACAATTAAATTTTTAAAACTGTGATTTCTCAGTTTAAAAATTTGGTTAAGTACAACCAGAGAAATGAAAAATTGTGCTCCATTTGTGTACACTGAATCAAAATGCATTCTGCTATCATGTATAACTAATTAGATAAAAAAAAAAAAAAAAGAAAGTAGAAAAAAAAATATGAGCTTGGGAATAGGAGGATCACTTTAGCCCATGAATTCAAGCCAACCTATGTAGCATAGCAAGATACATCTCAATAAATAAATATATAAGAAAAAAATACGGTTAAGACCTGCCTTGCAGAATAGGGATGTATATGGAAGATGCCCAGGGAAGTGCCTGGAACATAGTAGGCACTCAAATGATAGCTTTTGTCATCACCTTGTACAGTTAATATGTGTCAACTCAACTAGGCCACAGAGTGTATAACATTCTGAGCACGTATGAGGGCGTTTCTGGATGAGATTAATATTTGAATGGGTAAACTGAGTAAAGCAGATTGTCCACCTATTGTGGGTGAGCCTCATCCAGTCGGTTGAAGACAAAAAGGCTAAGAGGGAATTCCTCTTCTCTGACATCCTTCAAATTGAAATATCAGCTTTTTTCCTGCCTTTGGACTTGAGCTAGCTGAAACATTCACTCTTGCTGGGATGGGAGCCTACCAACCTTCAATTTCCAGCATGTTTACTTCAGAGTTTGGGACTTGTCAGCCTCCATAATCACAAGATCCAATTCTTTATACTCTGTCTTGTTTTTCTCAAGATTCCTGACTAAATGCATCAGCATAGTCTAGGCCTGTATAATCTCTTTTGTTGGGCCTGAACAATATTTTTTCCTCTGGGTGGCAGCAACTGCTTGGGGATGCCTATAGGGAGGAAAAGCACTTTAGAGCGGACAAGAATCTAGTATCCAAAATTTAATCTTCAAGATAATGAAACGGGGGTCCTACAACAGTTAGCTAGTGACAACATCAGAATTTGAAATCTGAAGACTATAGAAGATTTTGTTTTAAAAAGGACTC